TAGTTTCAATCATTAGTTAATATCTGCACATGAGCATTCTGCTATTATTAGATGTACACTCTGTATAAATGTGATTAATATTGTATAAATGATTGTACAATTTAAATTAATAAATTATTATATAAAAGGAATATCTCTTTTTCTAAATAAAAATACTTTTGCATTATTTCACATAAATTTAATCAAAATGAAAAAAGTTAATTGTAAAATGTATATAACTTTGCATAACTAACTTTTAACTTTATTTTTAACTTCTTAACTTTTAAATTTGATAAAGCTAATTTTACCTTAACTTAACTTTTAACTGAGTGGAAAATTTACTTATATAACTTGGAACGTAAACTTAGTTAATTCATAGCGATCAACTTTCAACTTAGTTAAAAACAATTTTACCCAACCCTGTACAGCTTATAGTAGTTCGTCGCCTCAGATGTTTGTTTAAATTAACCCTTAAATGCATGATTTTTTACTTTTTTTATAAAATAATTTGAATGAATTTGAAACAAGGTTGCTATTTATTGAGATATGAATTAAAAAATCATATGATGCAGAAACTACATCATGATGCATCTAAGGGTTAAGTGAAAATGAGTTTCGATTTCATCTTACAGATGAGATGTCAATATTTTTATTCGGTATATTTTTAAAACGAAACGTCATTTTAACGAATATGAGTTCCCCGACAGATTCTTCGGCGTACCACAAACAATAATAAAATCTACTTACACCTATCTATCTTCATGTTTGTTTCGTTATATTTCTTCTGCTCCAAAAGTGTCCCAACGGATTTGTAAAAACAACTTATTAATACCTGTATCAAATTGTTTACTATATCCGTAAATCGGCATCTTAGCGATTTAAAAGAGCGAGAATCATGGCCGAGAAGTGCGAAGCATCTTGTATACGTCGATAACCTCCAAACTCCTACAGCGGAGAGAGAAACAAACATCGTCTGTTTTCTCCTTCCAAACGCAAATACACACGCGCAAACTCATAAAACCAAACATTGCTGCTGTTTTCCTACCGGGAGGTCGGACGAGGCACACTTTTATACTCGGAAAGGCATAAAAAATCGCGAAAATACCGATCGCTCCGATATTCGCGACAGCGCGTGGACTCGCATTCCGGAGCGTGTCGCTCGCGTCGCGCTGCGATCGCCCGCGTCTACGAAGCCCCTATCCGTGCGGCCGCATTCCACCTGTCAGAAGGTGGTCGCTTCGCGTAGCTTCGCTTCGCGAGTCTCGCCGAAAAGCCGGAGAACCTGACAGCTCGCGGGGATCGCTTCGACGATCGGCGAGAAGTCCCCGTAATCTCAATATGGCTGTGTCGCGCGCGTGCACGTACGCGCACGACGTTCACCGCTCGACGCAGGACTACGCTCGCAGGATACATACGTGTGCACTCACCGAACTAACGGCCATCGTCCATCGGGTGACCGCGCCGCATTCCGCGCTGTGGTTCGCAACGGTGGAAAGAAAGACGGAACTCCGGAACTGGAATCGTCGGAAGAAGTCGGGAATCGGCGATGTCGGCGATATCGGGAATCAACAAAAGTCGACGCTCTTCGCTCGAATCCTCGATTACCTCCTCCGACCTGCTGCCGCGCGTGCCGATGGTCGTCGCCTCGCACTTGGACTGACTCTCTCCCTTTCTTTCTTTCTCTCTCTCTCTCTCTCTCTCTTTCTCTCGAACTCGGCGTTTTGGACCACAGCTAGAAAATCGAGCGCGAATCGTCGGCCGATATACGAAGGCGTGCCCGCGCGCACTGCACGATTCCGGCACGAAGCTCTGCGAGTCGAAATTCCGGGACGGCGTAACCTCGCAGCGGACGTGAAAGAGACGAGACGCGACCGATCGCCCGAGCGACGCTCACCGCAACGTAACTCGTCGCCGGTTGGTAGGGGAACTGAGGGGAACTGAACCAACTTGGAACAGGGAATATGGGTAGGTTACGCGCGCGAGATGCGGGGGGAGGGGGGAAGTGGCGCGCGATCAAGGTAGGGGTAGGGCGTGGGACGGTTGGAAAAGGGAGAGAAGGGCCTCTCGCCTCTACAAGGAGAGAGAGAGAGAGAGAAGACGTAGGTGTCGTGTCTGCACGCACCGGCCTTTCCGGGCCCTTCTTGTTTGAATCTTTCATTTGATTTTCTGAAAGGAGGTAGAAGGTAAACGCACCAATGGCATTTATTTAAATATTACTTAAATATTCTCGTTATTTTGGTTTTGATATATGAATATTTAAACTCTCGTGGAATATATGTATGCGTTGAGTGTAGGTGTACATATTCACGGTCGGAAGTGTAAATGTTCGTAGATGAAAATCAAAACAATAATAATCCCAGTAAGCAAGAAATCACCAACACAATGTTATTGCAATGATATTTTGAAACATGTTTAACGTCTTCATATATGTGGTTTTTCGTTTTGTACGCAACGTTATTGTTAACAATATTTGGTCCAAACATTAAAAATAATACTTTTACACTATGATTTTAATATTTATGAATATTATATCATCAACTAGCAATTTAAAAGCATTTGTAAAATATCAATGTCTAATGTTATAAAGTATTAATGTCTAATGTTTATGAAATCCACATAAAATCAGTGTTTCGAAAGATTGATTGATTTCCTCGCTTTCTAGGACGCCCAGGTTTTATCTTATAAATGAAATAAAAATCCGAGATTTACAAGATTCAATTTCGATGATGATTTCGACAATTTCTTAACAAGAAATAAATTTCGATAAAGTTTCGCAGACAAGTTCCTTTGAGTCAATCGGTCTTAAACGGCCTCCGTAGCTGTTGCCACACTGAATTTATTACATTTGAAACCGACTATGATTTCACGCTCCTACGCAATTTGTTGAACCGGTAGCGGAACACTCGGTATATTTTACAGCGTGACTAAAGTGATTCCGAGCGAGTAAAGCGTTAAATAATTCGAATATCGTCCGATTAATTCGACGTTCATGGGTCGAGGAAAAAAACTGCTTGCTCGAACGTGTGTTGCATAATGAATCACGCATCGCGCTAATAAAGTTCATTCGCGATCGACTGACGGTTTAACAACACTTGATGTTCACTCGAACAGAGAAGAACGATACCTCTCGATGGTCAGCCGGGAAATTTCTGCCGGGAAAATGTATCTGGGCCAAGTACCTGCGCGCAGCGCAATTCCCTTCGTTTGTGTTTACAACGCGTGACTAACGTTAATCTTTTTCGTCCGCGGCGCGAGCGCTGCGGTGTCGCACAGCAGGTGCAATTAAGAAATTCCGAGAAACTCCGACTAGGTGGGAGGGCATTAATAGTGCCGTCGTTGTATAATGGCCATTGTGTGCTCCTCTGCGAGGCACAACAGAGCGTTACAAAATACAACATAAACGTTTGGACTCACGAAATATCCGAAATACACTCGAGCGAATAATTTAATGACACATCTTACTTTATACATTTTTATCCTTCGGAGATCCTCGTGTATAGCAGTTTTCGACGCATCAATGTGAATTCACGCAGCATGCTTTATCCGAGAGTTGTTCTGGGAACGTCCTTAGAACGTAAGACGTCCTTCCGACGTCTTTACGCTGTCTAGTGGAGGTCTGAACTGTATGGATATGTACAGGCGACCACATTCATTGTAAGTGTAGGAGACACACGTGATGCCAAAGGCACCACCCGATCCTATTCATCATTCAAAGCCTTAACGAGGTGACCTCGTTACAATTTTGTACATTTCGGCGTTGCTTAAGCACCTGCTGCACGTTGAACGACTTCGGCGCAATATTAGCATGTAACCTACATGCAGGAATATGCTGAACGAAGTCCTCTTTCCTACAAATCGATGAGAGTCCAGAGTGCATGTAAAACAAAATAATAATAATAAGGAAAAGAAGAAGGAAAGTGCATACTCGTTGACTCTCAGCGTGTTTCTTCATTTAATCGGATCAAACACGCGCTTACTGACGACTTATTTTCGGCGTGTTACAAATTAGGTTGATACGTTTGATGCGTACATCGGTCATTTCTCATATTTTGCGAACTATCGCCGGTATTGCCGGATCAATCAGTCCGGAAGTGTAGCCAATTATCTCTGTTTGGTGCACGCACTTAATCTGATCTAACTACATTCCATGAATTTATTGCTTCTGCACACAGGACGCGGTCAAATGTTTAATACATTATTCCAGTCACGAGAAGACTATTTTTTACTGGCTGAAGTTTTCGTTGTCGCCGGTCTGTTGAGTTATTCCGTGTTTTGACGGTATTGTATGGAAAGAAATAACCGTGAACAAGGACGAGATAATGTTAAAAATAGCCGGTCAACAATATGTTAATTCGCGTTTATGAAAAATAACTGGTGAAGAATAAGTGTTGCTTGATGCTTAAAGTAGCCAGTCAGCAATGTGTTATGGCAAATTATCAATCTAGCACGTATTTATAATTATGAAAAAACAAATAATCTTTATATGCAGCTTGGATATTAATTATATGTCTTATGGAGAATATCATATTGTATTACAAAGGATTGAATAAGAACTTTCTCAGGAAGCAGATACATTGTTAGCTGCGTGTAAACGATCAAAGATAATCATAGCAGAATGTATAAGAATTATGCGGAATAGAAATATACAGAATTAACATACAAACTCGATCTAAATGAACTGAGATGAATTTTAACGAACCTCAGGCAGATAAAGATTCACACGAAAATAGGTACTTGTTACGAGAGAAGAATAAAGTACATTGCAACAAAGACCAAAGTTATCAGATAGTGATAAATTTACAAACGTTAATACCAAAACTTACGCTGAATGCAGATCATCAGAGCCAGAAATTCTTAATCTGTTTAGTTATATTTCGTAGTTTGTCTTACAAAAATCATTATTAGATACATTTACTTCATATATGAGATATCTGACATAACATATATATATATATATATATCCGTTTGCATGCAGATAAAATGTTACTTTTTTCAATAGGTAACGAAGAAACAACGGTAACGAGTTACTTTTCAAAAATAATTTTCCCAACTGCTGATATGCATATTACGTCAGACACGCTTTTGACGAATAATATATCGTAATCATAATATAATATAAATAATATATCGTAAATAATGCATCGTGATAAGTGAAGTTATTCAGCCGAGAAATGGTATTCGCGGTAAAGGCACTTTCGATGATAGCTCGTCGTGTGTTTTTTGTATCGTATTTTTTCTGTTATTATTCCCTTCGGTATTTTGATTCGTCGGTTTGTCGACGACATTGAGGCCAGGCTTAAGACCGGGAACAAGTCCGCCGAGTGTATCGATCGGTTTCTGAACTACCGATATTGCTTCCTTGCTGCCTTGTTGTATTAATTGGAGAGGCACTTTGTACAGACTACACGCGGGTGATTGCAGTCGTTCAGGCACGACAGTCCACAGGCCCATTTCGCAGTACCTGTTAACACAGCGAGTAATTTGATAACTTCATTTGCGTTGATTAATATGTAAGATTGTCTGTTATTAATATGCAAATTTATTGATATGTAAGATCTTTGTTACGTTACCGAAAATTGCTCATGGTTTTCGGAAATGTTGTGATACTGACGAAAGGGTTTGTGCCGTTTGAAAACGTCGGAATGACGTCCGGAAACCAGGAGCTTTTACTGGACGCAGTAGGTACATTAAGCGTGCCGCTTCTCGCGAAATTTGCTATCATATCCGTGAAAATCTCAGTCACACGCTCGTCAGCCTCATCCGGTTCTTCGTTTTCACTTATTTCTTCGCCGGTTATAGTATTTTGACCAAAGATATATGCCAAATCGTCTCCGTGATTCAAGTTACCTACGATAAAATTAATCGTCCTGTTACGCAGAGATAACAAAACTTGATTTACCTTTTGCCAATTATCACAATCCATACCATCCTGTGCTTGTCTACAAGCGTCGACAATCGGCAATCCAGCGAGAAAGTTCTTCCCATAATTTCTCTTTCCCTTGTGATCGAAAGTGTACAAAAACGCGTTCGCCTTCTTCGACCAGCGGTCGACTGTCAAAAATGCCGGGACGTTGTAGAGCGAGTCGCCGAGAGCTTCCGCGACTTTTCCGATCGTATTTTGAGCGCCATCGTTCCCGAAGATATTAAGGTAGCCGTTGAAGGCTTGCGGAACTAATCGCGATCCACCTTGCATGTTCGGTATGGTGTCTTGTAAACGCGGTACGAAATCGCTGGTCAAATAATTCGGGACCGTGTTCAATTTGTCCTGCACTTCGTTTTTGTATCCACCGGAAATAGCGCCTCCGGTCTCGTCTTTCATAACTCCGGTCAACAGAGGTATAGTTGGAAAATTGTCGAGCCTAAACGCATCTTCCGGCGATTGAATCATAAAGTTGGGAAGCGACCTTGAAAAAGTAGCGGCGGTAAATTTAATCGAATCAAGCGGAGATCCCAGTGCTTCCTCACACGGCAAAATATATCACGGAGATATCACTGGAGAATATCTGAAGGTCCAAATGTCTGATTATCAAGATATCACGGGGATATCCGAAAGACATCTGTGAGATTTCAACACCGGCCATAGTCGTATGCAAATGTTGCGAAGATATCTTTTACAAAGAAAAAAATGTGACATTGAGTAATGAGATATCTTACAGATATTCTCTGAATATCTGTAAATAAGATATCTTGGATACAACTTAAAATTGCAGTCATAAAGATATTCGATTATATCGTCGGATATATTTTGCTGTGTGAGTTTCGACGAACCCACGTTACCTTTTGTCGTCCGCGCCATCTAAAACAGGACCGGCTCCGAGCAGATTAGATAATCCGGAGATGAAGCCTCGGGCCGTCATTCGGACGTTCTCCAACTTGGAATCCGTTTCGATTAGCTTCTCCACCGGCAATTCCCGGAGGCAGCTCACCATTTCTCGGATGTTGTTTGTCGGACAGCCGTTGTCATGCGCTATGCTCCTCGCGGTGGCAGTAGGATCCCGGTCGACCGCGAAGTGAGACAAAATCGAGCCCGACATCGCGATCAAACCACTGAAACTATCTATGTAAAAGCATCGATGATTTGTTACCGATGAACGAACGTATACAGGGCGTCCGGTAATTCACGCAGCACCGCTTGAGTACAGATAGAATGGATTAAACTGAGCAGAAAAGTCCTTTACTATTTTCCAAAACCACGCAAAATTCAGAGTTATTATCGATTGAAATCCATTGATGTCTATTCTTTGCAGCGCGACGAATAACGCATTTGCGATTACTTTTGCAGAATTTGGATAACGACAGCATCGTAGCGGAACTGGCGCCTGTGCCGTGACCGAAGGCCACTGTTTTGTTCGGGTTACCGCCGAAGAAGCGTATGTAATCCTTCACCCAGTCGACGGCCAGTATCATGTCAAACATACCGTTGTTGCCCGGCAATTCCTTCGTACCTGTACTCAAGAATCCTGGAAAAAATTTGCGACCATTGGGTCATTTGTCTGCATTATTTTTTATTCATGTTCCGTATTTCCCTCAATGCCTATTTTAATTACCTAACGATCCCAGTCTGTACTGTATGGATACGACGACCATCTGCTTCTTAATCAGGTTTCTCATCTCGTACTGGCACGCCGCACCTCGTCGAAAACCGCCCCCGTGAATCCATATCAGCACAGGATAGCCGTCGCTAGAATCCGGAAGCGACGGTGTGAAAACGTTCAGGAAGAGACAGTCCTCACTTCCGACGATTTTATTCGATCCATTGCGGCTCGGCTGAGGACAGGGCGGCCCCCAGGTGGTAGCATTATATTCTCCCTCAAGATACACAGGTGTGGCTCGCTGTAAGTTGACTTTTCTCGCAATACGAACATACTATCTAGGTCGATTGCGCCGATAAATCAAAGGATTCGCTTGTCCTTCCCGGTCAACATATAGAAAATGCACACAACCGTATATAATTAACGATTATAACGTGTAAAAGTTTTCAAAATATGTAAAACAAGGGAAAGTAAGAACCAGGTGTTGATGTCGGAGCGACACAATACAGGCAAGTGCCCAGGTAGAATAGAAAATGACGATAACATGAAAATAATTCAAAGTGATGAAAAAAATGATCGAGAAATGAGTTTCATAGTGATTTTCTCGTGATTTTGACGTCATTGTTATTTTCTATCCTGTTTGGATGTTTGCCTGTATTTTTCATTTGATTATACAATTAATGTTAAATAAATAACATTTCCTACAGCTAAATCACGTGTAAATTGCGTCATTTGCTTTTTCCTGTATTCAGGCAGGACTGATAACGTGTATCAAATTCATTAAATTAGGCAGCGACAGGATATACCGAAAGATAAAACGATACTCCGTCCATATCGGTTTTACATTAGTATAGTAATATAGTATAAAAAGTACAATTAAGAAGAGATTTTTCTGCTCTGATATAGCAGTATACAATACAGTTATTATTATTCGTGACTGCTTGACACGATGCGCACAATTAATTATAGGTCATTGAATTTAATTATTTCGAGTAAACGCGCGAGGCAGACAGCATTAATGAATCCGATTGCACACATTGTGATGCATCCGCCAGTTTATGTAACGTTTTAATAGTGTTGCCACTCATACTACGTTACGTTTGGCACTCATTGTGCACGTCACCGGACACTGTAGAGAAAATTGGAATATAATAAAAAAATATATAATCTAAGCGATATTATATTATAAAGCGATATTATATTTCCATTATTTTAACAAACTTTAACCTTCGAATCGGAATCTTTAAATCACTGATATATTTGAATTTCTGCGTTCAAAAATTATGCGGTTTTGATAGAAAGTGTAACAACAATTTATTAACGGTGATATTTTTGTGCGATATAATATATAAGTAAATTAAAAGTTATTCAATTAGTTTATTAAAACGTTAATAAACGTATATGCGTAAAATATAGTTAATGTATATTTATAGGCCACTGTTATTATATTATCTATATTTTACCTGGAATCTATTTTGCCCTGTCGGAGGCTGTCCAAATCTAATTCCACGAAAGGTATAAAAGCCTTTATTCGGATCGCGTTTGCCGATAATGCGCGCGTATCGACCGTTTTTATTCACAAAAACCACCGGATCGTCCACGGGGGGTTGCAAGGCCGCGGTACCACCAACAATTCTCTTCCGTCTAATTAAATTTATATCTTGCGTGTGAACAAATGAACAAAAGAAAAGAATAAAAAGCAAGCTCACGCGTCCACCCATTTTGAATATATACGTTGGAATAAACGAATTATCTCGCTTCGACACTCGACACAAATACGTTGGTGGGGGATTCACGATCTTATACATCGACGGAGTAATACTAAAGACCATCGAACTTGCGAAATTTAGCGTACTGGAAAATTTCGCCGTGTGAAAACCTCCAGTTGCTCAATTTGTCGATAGATTTAAATTTGTCGAAACAACGTAGATAATAATTGCAGAAATGCATTTTTTTCGTAAAAATATTTAACTTTATTGTGAATCTATATAGTGTGATTGATCAATTTCTTAAGGCTTAAGCTTAAATTCTCATTGTAGATTCCGCTTTAGTTCTAGTCTATAATAAATGCTTTATGCCTTAAGCCTTAAAAATTGACCAATCAATCGAATTATAGAAGAATCAATTGCGATTGGTCAATTTCTTAAGGCTTTGAAAACGTACCAACAGTGATGTTTCCGAATGTAGCCTGGGATGTTTCAAAACAGCTGTGTCTAGTGGTGTGCGTACAGTGCGCGTTTCCGAACGCAACTTAAGATTTTGGAACGCAACTCTGAGTCTGCCTGTTGGTAGTTCTGATGAAATTGTCCTTTGGTACCCCTGCATCGACCGGAACCGTTCTCTGTTGGACGTCGACTCTATTGGTGAGTAACGGAAGACTTGGTTATTGCTGAATATCCGTTTTTATTTATGTGTACCGAGTGAATCCATCAAAAAAAAATTATAGTTAAGTTCCAGTTGTTTCTCATACATGAGATGCATTTGATATTTTTATAAATTGATATATGATAAACTTAATACTTTATAGTTTTGAGGTTAACGCAACGCACGACGTGCACGGTGTGTTGTGTGTGCAGAGAGCGTCGTCAAAGACTGATATTTAATACATCAATTTCTTTATAGGTCTCAAGGTACCATGGGTCGAGTAATTCGTGCACAGCGTAAAGGTGCGGGATCTGTTTTCCGATCTCACACTAAGAGGAGGAAGGGAGCACCGAAGCTCCGTTCCTTGGACTTTTCTGAGAGACATGGATACATCAAGGGTGTCGTTAAGGTTCGTAAGCGGTTTATCGTTCTAATTCTGCTATATGTTAGTGCTGTTATAACTTAACCTTAATTAGTTATACTTATTTTTAAGTCTTTAACACTAGAACCACAACATGAGTCCTTAGAACCATGGATAGGTTATCCCTTTTTTTTCTTTGTAATTACCATGGGGGTATTTTTTTTATTTTATGCTACTGTTTAATAGTTTTATGATAAAGAAGGCTTTTTAGTATATGTACTGCTGAAGCATTATCTAGTGATAAAAATTTGAAGAAATGATGAGAAAAAGAATCTATAAATGGATAAAAATAACCTAGCCTTGGTTCTAGTGTTAATTTGTCACATTCTGATCGGTGAGACTGCTTGACTTTGCCATTTTCATTCTAATTAATATTTTTAAGCTCGTTATGTGTAAATTGAAAGTACAAAGCCTGGATAAGATGTTTATGACGTCAGGTTAAGAAAATGATTTGGGTTTAAACTAAACTTATTACAAGAAAAATATTGCAAGAAAATGAAGGAAAAAGAGTTTTTTGAAGAAATTCTCAAATTGCTTTGTAAATATGATTTAAGAAAAAATATTCATTTATTGTAGCAGAAAAACCTGATACTTTAAGAGAAAAAGAAAATAAAATCATGTGATTCGTTACAAAGTGTTCCGAAGAAACATTAGAAAATTGAAAAGTTTTCAGTAGTTCACTGGACTGGAATGTGGCGAGCTAAGGTTAATCTTGCTATAAATTCAACTCGTGCTATATATGATGAATCCAAAATCCCTGATTATAAATGAAGATTTTTAACTGGAGGCTCTTTCTGAAGACACATGTTTCTACTGTGAAGAATATTTCCTTTAATGATTCTATAAAAATAAAAGGATTTCTGTTTCTTGTTAGGACATTATTCATGATCCTGGTCGTGGTGCACCGTTAGCTGTTGTTCATTTCCGAGATCCTTATAAGTTTAAAACGCGCAAAGAATTATTTATCGCTCCTGAGGGCATGTATACTGGCCAATTTTTGTACTGTGGAAAGAAAGGTATGTCTATCGATAACTTCTTAAATGGACAGTATTGAACATTGATATAAAATCATTGCTATATCCATAACAATACTATTACTTAGAGAGAGAGAGAGAGAGGAGAGAGAGGAGAGAATGTATGTGTGTGTGTGTTTAGAAAACTTAATTTGCTATATTTAATTGTTTTTAATTTTCCAGCTAATCTTCAGATTGGAAACGTAATGCCAGTCGGCACGATGCCGGAAGGTACGATTGTTTGCAATCTGGAGGAGAAAACCGGTGACAGGGGCCGTTTGGCCAGGGCTTCCGGCAATTACGCTACTGTAATAGCTCATAATCCGGACACTAAGAAAACCAGGGTGAAGTTACCATCCGGTGCGAAGAAAGTAATTCCCTCCAATAACAGAGCGATGGTTGGAATAGTCGCTGGTGGTGGAAGGATAGACAAGCCTATCCTCAAGGCTGGCAGAGCATACCATAAGTACAAGGCTAAGAGGAATTGCTGGCCTAAGGTGTGTTTTCTCTTCATCTGTTTTACAACAAGTGATCAAAAGTTCGCAATGATGGCAATTTAAGACATTTGAAACCTGAGGGATCTTATGTGGAAGTTTTTTTTGACTGAGCAAAATTTGATTCTTATGATGTGTTTGAAAGTTGAAGATCGAAATTTACGAAACAACGAATGTTTCCAGGTTCGTGGTGTCGCTATGAACCCGGTAGAGCATCCTCATGGTGGTGGTAATCATCAGCACATTGGTAAGGCGTCCACCGTGAAACGAGGGACTAGTGCTGGTCGTAAGATCGGTCTTATTGCCGCTCGTCGTACCGGAAGAATCCGAGGAGGCAAAACCGATACTAAGAAAGACGATTAAACACTGGTATTTGATGTATATTATGCAATAAAAAGATACGAAAACAATTGTCGCCGGAATACTGCAACACACGTAATGGTATAACAATCATTCTCGTACTTGTATGCTCGTGTAGATTCTTGGGATTGGAAACGCGGTCTAAGGGTCGACAGGAGCGAAGCATCTCTCGAATTAGTGCAGCCAGTTCGAATGAAAAGAGTAGACCACGACTGCGTTCGGGGAACACGCTATCAGTGCTAATAGCGCGCTGCTCGAACGCACCTCATTGTCGCTCCTTTTGAACGTGTCGACGTCCTTCGAAATTTGAATTTGAACTAAGTATTTTTGTTTTTTTCGAAAACGACGGGAGAGGTGCCGAAATGTTCATAATGGCCGTATTCTGAGTTTCTTATCGATAAAAGTGCCTTAAATATGGTTTCCCAGCCAATCGAGTGGTTCCTAAGCCACTTTTGTCGATAAAGGAGACTTCAGAATACGAGGTTGAAATATTTCGAAATAAGTAAATGAATGTAACGATATGGCGGATTTTTTCTAACCGGATGCGGGCCCGCTGCGCACCAATGTGTATTAAGGCCGTATTCATAGACCGTTCCCATACTCAAGATCGCCTTTGTTAAACCACTCGTAACCAATAGGAATACTGTACGGTACAGTAATCGTACATGATAGTCGGTTGTACACGCATAACGGAATCTTTTGAAGGTCTGTCTCACGTGGAATTTATGCTCACGATAGGCGGCGAATTAATCGAATTTCGCACACATCATTCTTCACGTGTTATGCCAATTTCGTTGTTTTTTTTTTTTCTTCATTCGAGGAGGAATCAAAATTGTCAAGTCGAGTCGACGTCAAGCTAGCCTGTAAAATTTCATGACGATCTAAAATCCCTGCGATCTAAAATCTAGTAAATAATCGATACCATTTTATACAACTGGATTTATTTTAAAATTTACATCGGGGTGCGAGCCCGTGTCGAAATTCGAGCGGGAGCCCGCGAATTTCGGCCCGTTCCAATCGTTATTTTGATATCCGACGGAAACGATCGGTCGCCATGTCGCTGGCGATAGCTCGCCGCTCGGCCATTTTTGTTGCGTCACGTCAAAGTGCGGGCAGGGGCCTCCTCTGTGCTCCTCTATCAGAGCCAGTCTCCGGGATTCCTTTGTATCGCGTGCAGGGAAAGACTGATAGTCGCCGTCGGCGTATCGTTCCGCGGATAACCGATAAGAGTTTCATTACGGTATAGAAGGTATTAATCGCCGTAGCGAGCGTATCACCGATCATTCCTCCTCGAGATCACAAAGGAAAGAGAGAGCAGAGGAAGAGAGAGAGAGAAGAAAAAGAAAGAAAGGGAGAGAGAGAGAGAGAGACAGAGACAGACAGCGCGTGGCCGCGTTGGGAACTTTTTCGCGTGACTCGACTTGAGATCGGCGTTGTGTGAAGACGAGCTTAAAAGAGCTTCAGCGAACGAGCTACGAAAACTACGCACCGAGGCGGAGTAATATGAGTAATGCAGCCAACCAGAATGGATCAGGTCTAGAGCAGCAGGTGAGACAATACGAAAATTACACGGCAGGAGAAGGCGAGGAAGAAAGGAAAAGGAAAGAGATGTTCTCTTTCCGCTCAGCATCGTTCACGAGGAAACGTGAACGCCAATTCCTTTCTCTCTTCCTCCCCCTCTCTCCTCCCCCCCCCCGCGTTTCGCTTCTTCCCCGTTCGCGTTTTGGCGCGTTCGCGATTTCCTTCGTTTTCACTTCTCTCGTTTTTCGGACGAAATTTCTCACGCCCGCGAGATCTCCCGCCGTCCGTTTTCGTTCCCTACGGGGCGCGTTCGAGGGAATTTTCTTCGCGTCCGATCGAAGATCCCCCCCCCCTCCCCTCCTCGCCCCCTCGAGTATCATGGGTCGTCACTCGAGCAGCTCGTGACGTACGCTATGTAATGGCGGCAAGCGATTCCGGGAACGGCATGCCTCGTGTCATGACGCATTCTCGCATAGTATTTTTTCCTTCGACGCGTTCCGAATTCCCTCTCCTCCGCGGGAGTGGCGGAAATTGCCCGCGATTCGTCACGACGGCGGGGGAGGGGGGGATTTCTTCGACGCGGGAAAAACCTCAGTGTGAAAAACGTTTCTTGCCCGGACAATGATCATTACCGCTGGGAGTTCACGCGATCACGGCGTACTCGTAATGCGAGAGGTTTTAACTCGAGCTTTTTTCTCCTCCTCAGTTAGCTGGTCTGGACTTGCAGGGCTCCCGCCAACCAAGTGGGGGTCGCTACGTACCACCGCATCTGCGTCATAAAACTGGCAGTTAGTATGACACAACAGTATCTTTAAGTTGTCAAAGATTTATGTGCCCTTATACGTGGTCTGCAATGGGTGGTAGAAGTATGTTTATAAGAAGTAAGAGTGAGAAATTACTCAATCACAGTCGATTATTCTTCTCACACTCGAATACGACTGGTCGATTTATTATTCTTCTTGTGAACATTCCTACTGCCCATTGTAGACTACGCTATACTGTAAACTCACTTTTATCGGTAAGAGTGCCTCTAAAAGTGGCTTGAGAACTGATTGACTGAGAAGCCACTTTGAAGCACTTTCATCGATAAAGGATAAATTCAGAATATGGACCCGTAGGAGATTCTTTCTGCTCAGTGACATAAGTTGACGCAAGCATGATTTTATCGTCGTTATTGTTGATTTTATCTTTGTTACTCATTGAATTCGGAACAAAGGCATAGCAATGCTTATGTCAACCTATGTGCCTCTAAATGGGAAGTTTCAATTTACAGTATTAAATTGCGTACGGATTAGTATTAAATTGCATATAGATATTACAGTATTAAATTGCATATAGATATTACAGCATTAAATTGCACATAGATTAGCAATCTTGCTGTCGTCGCATCGCGCATAGACATTGGGAAAGTCGTGAATCGTGTGTTATCAGTACGTAGGAGTATCTTGTTTTGCAAAAACAAATCCTGCTATGCGCGCATACAGTCGCATATACCATGCATACACTGGCCTTAGAGTTCTTTGAGCGGCGAAAGACACGACGATTAGTTTCTATTTCGGTTACGAATACTATTGCTCGTTATTGCTCGCTGTTTCTCCGATGGCAAGGTATCAAACGCCGCGAATTATTGATCGAGGGCCAAGACTGATGAGAGAGTACACGGGCCAGTAGACTCTCGATCTTAATTCGTAGGATCGCGATGATAAGAGTGCCCGAATGTGCGTGATCTTATCGTTGCAGTGTACACACACGCGCGCGAAAGGAGACGTGCTCATAACTCATTGATTTCACCAGGTAACCCACCTTCGGATTTACAATACTCTTCCAACTCGAGACCGTTCGGCGACCGAGACAGAGGCGGCGATCGCGATCGTGATCGTGAGAGGGACAGGGACCGGGGCAGAGGTGGTTACAGGGATGCGCGGAGTCCCCGCGACATCGACTTCGCGAACTTCGGCAGCTTCGGCGGACGCAATAGACGCAGTCAGGAGAATGGAAGGGATTACAGGTATCCCACCTCCGAGCGCGATCGGCCGATTAGTTCCGGCAACGATCGCTGGCAGGAACAGCCGAGAAATGATCGCTGGCAAGAGAACAGAAACGAGCGGATGGGAAGCGGCAGCAGATGGGGCGACGACAGAGGCGGCAGTCGCGGGAGGGGCGAGGTCGACTGGACGATCCCTACTTCCAGAGACGAGCGACTGGAGGTGGAGCTCTTCGGCTCCGGGAATACCGGCATCAATTTTAGCAAATACGAGGATATCCCAGTTGAGGCTACCGGAGAGAACATACCTCCACACATCACATCCGTGAGTACAGACGTACAAAGGGAACTTGGTCGATACCTTCCGCAGGCTGGGGCGATTCAACCTCGTCTTCTCTTTGCTTTCAGTTTGACGAGGTTAAGCTGACGGAGATAATAAAGAACAGCATCGCCTTGGCAGGATATGACAAGCCTACGCCAGTGCAGAAATACGCGATTCCGATCATCATCGGACGCCGTGACGTAATGGCCTGCGCCCAAACAGGGTCCGGTAAAACAGCGGCCTTCCTAGTGCCAATATTGAACCAGATTTACGAGAGCGGTCCGCGTCCGCCGCCACCGCAAGCGAACTCCTCCGGCAGACGCAAGCAGTACCCGTTGGGTCTGGTGTTGGCCCCCACGAGAGAGCTCGCCACGCAAATCTATGACGAGGCACGAAAGTTCGCGTACAGGTCGCGTATGCGTCCCGCGGTCGTCTACGGCGGCTCCAATATAGTAGACCAAATGCGCGAGCTGGACCGCGGCTGCCACTTGCTCGTGGCAACGCCCGGACGTCTGGTGGACATGCTCGGACGCGGCAAAATCGGCTTACACAATTGCCGGTACGTAATCTCATCGTCCCCCCGAACGATTCGACTCTGGAATAATACGGATACGGTGTGTACACGTACGGTTGTTCCCGTTTCAGATATTTAGTTCTCGACGAGGCCGATCGTATGTTGGACATGGGTTTCGAGCCGCAAATAAGACGCATTGTCCAAGAAGACAACATGCCCCCCACAGGAGAGAGACAGACTCTCATGTTCTCCGCTACCTTCCCGAAGGAGATTCAGATGTTGGCCAGGGACTTTCTTAGTAACTACATTTTCTTGGCGGTCGGCCGCGTCGGCTCGACCTCCGAGAATATCACGCAGAAGATCGTGTGGGTGGAGGAGCACGATAAGCGTTCTTACTTGCTCGACTTGTTGCAAGCCAGTAACTTTTCCGATCCCAGTAAGTTGTAGATCTGATTTCATCGGAATGGTTGACTTCTCGAGATTCAAGACGTGAACCGTTTTATACCTCTTTGTCTCGAGTTGCGACCTCGGCAGAACGGCTGACTTGTCGATCCAAGACAATATTTCACGCCTTGTATCTTTATCTTTAAGTAACGCACAATGAGACCGTCTTGAACCTTAAACTAAAAAAACGTCCCGTTTGTGATTGATAGCAGACCATTGTATAATGATAAAAGTAAACAAGTGATAACGTAGATGAGGATTTCAGGCATAAAATATTGTCTCTGGGCTCCTCGTTTTAGCTGTCCTCGATGACGTCAGAAATTTAGATTTAGTTCACATCGAATGCCAAATGTATCGGTGGTTCTCATTGTGCAGCTGCGGAGTCGCTCACTCTAGTGTTCGTGGAGACGAAGAAGGGAGCCGACATGCTCGAGGAATATCTGGCTCAAATGGGATATCCGGTTACTAGCATTCACGGTGACAGGACGCAGCGTGAACGGGAGGAAGCTCTGCGCCGCTTCCGCGCCGGCAAAGCCCCGATTCTCGTCGCAACTGCTGTAGCGGCACGTGGTCTCGATATACCGCACGTTAAACACGTCATCAACTTCGATTTGCCGGGCGACGTCGAAGAATACGTACATCGTATCGGCCGTACCGGTCGTATGGGCAATTTAGGTTTGTTTCTTCATCCTCCTTCGTGTCGATCTTCCTTCGTCGTGCGTTCGTTCGAGAGAGAGAAAAAAAAAGCTAAATTCCACATCGTGTCTCGTTCCCAATAGGTCTGGCAACGTCGTTCTTCAACCACAAGAATCACAATCTGGTGCGTGATTTAGTGTCCTTACTCATCGAAGCTAATCAAGAACTTCCACCATGGTTGGACGACATGTACACCGAAGCGAGATACTCCGGAGGTGGATCTCGGCGTCCTGGCGGCGGCGGCGGCGGAGGTGGCGGTGGCGGCGGCGGCGGCGGCGGCACCAAGGGACGCTTTAGCGGCGGCGGTTTCGGTGCAAGAGATTATCGTCAGCAACCGAGCTCTGGCTCCGCTCGTAATAATAGCTCCTCCAGACCAGGCGGTTACGGAGGTAAATAGGAGATAGTCATCGTCTTAACGAAACGTTTGTGAAAGAACGGAGAAAAAGGGAAAACGAAACTATGAAAATATATAGTAGCTTAATATCGGAAAGCGGTGGATCGTGAAAATTGTCAAAGTATCATTTTCGCGACGGTCTCGACAAATTCGAACGTATGCTTCATTTGAAAAAACAAAAACAAAAAGGTAACTTCTATTTTTTTCTTTTTGTTTCAGGGGGTTATTCAAGTTACGGAGGCAGTTATAATTCATCGTACAATAATTCCACTAACAATGGCAACAGTAATGGCCCCGACTGGTGGGGAGGATGGGACAAGTAGGCGATTATTTCTAGCTCTATTTCTATTTCTATCATCATTATTATTATTATTATTAATCTACACCGAAATTAAATTATATGTAAGAGAAACACGAGACATACATCGGACACACTGCACACGTGTTTTGCGCGCGTATGCATGTATAGTCGGCGTCAGAAGTGCTGAGCACCTTTTCGCTTTTCAGGGATGAGTTATACGGTTTTATTTCTGTTGTGAAGTGAGGCTAATAACTATAGTTATATATAGAACATCAAACGTATTAGATAGCTTAGATTAGTACAATATTTATGTACTAAATCGCTCGCCTAAACGGGACGTATTATTAACACTTTAGTAACTATTATTATTATCTTCAACTTATGTCGGGATAATTCCGTACGGATCAACTTTTTTCACGGGGCGTCAAAAGCGGTTATATAAAGAGGAGGGGATTGTAGATGAAAGCACAATATATGATAGCGTCTTGAAGATTCATTGGGGAGGGGGGGGGGNAAATTATCCTCGTTATTTTGACACCGACTATACACTAGAGTACAGAGACAGTTTCACGTATAAACACACACATACACACCCACGTTCGCTGACTGCCCGTGCACTCCGGTTTTTCGATGGGAAGCAAAAAGAAGGGGAGACTCACATCGTTTAAATTCCATTATATTACATTTGTTCACGTGCGACAAATTGACAAATCCTGTGTGCAATTGAGTATTCACACCGGCGGTGGGGGATCGTCGCCGGGGGGGATATTTCGAACGTAAATGATCTCACCATGAAACATGCGAGTATCGTAAATGGGATTTGTTCAAACACTTCTACTACTACTATTACTACTATTACTACTACTACTATTACTACTACTATAGTTAGAAATCCATCCAACATTTCGTTGCCGTGCGTGCTGACGAACACAAGTAGTATAATCACTAACGAATCAAAGTCATTAAAGAAAAGAAAAAAAAGAAGGAAATCGATGAATCGTTAGTGCCTCTACGGAGGTAGTAACGATGTAACACATAGTAGTGGAGAAACCTAGTAAAATTCTTTAGAACTCCTGTCGAGACTATGGCGCTCAGCTAAAAATAGCTTTAGTCTTTATATTATTATTATTATTTTTCTTTTTCGTAGCGGGTTGCGGTGAGCGTATCTTCGGTGATCGCGGCGTCTAGCGATCGTAAAATCGTTCCGATGCACAAACGCTTTATTGCCTTTGCTGTCACAGATGGCCAGTAAAAAGTTTTGCGTAGTTCCGTTCCGGAATGGATGGCACAGTTTTCTCTTGGGTTAGACGTGTGTGTGCACGTTCATTTCAAAACGCCTAGGATACGCCGAGCCACCGTTGCCGTAGTTAACATGACGACAATTTTTAATTTTCTCTCTTTATTTTGTCCTTATTTTACTAGTACGTAGTTTAGCGACGAATGGTACTTTGTTGTTTTGCCGTCCCCAGAAACAGACGACGTTGCGCCGGCAAATATCACGGTTTACTGGAATAAACCACGTGAATTTTTTTCGGGGATCGAAGGCTTCGGTATTGAGAGAGAGAGAGAGAGAGAGAGAGAGAGAGAGAGAGAGAGAGAGANTACAGGCTACGTCTTAGCATACCTTTAGAAATCTTCAAATATTTCCGTTATAGTCTTATAATATACACATAAACACATACACACTTTACCGTTTCTAATTTAGAAAATTTCAAGACGATGTTCGCGCGATCTACTAGCCGGCAGCCGAGTTATTTTCTATAATAACTGTGGCCAAGTACAGTAGAACCTCGATATTCATCGTAATCACATTGTTAATTTTCCAATTTCTGTTGTAATAAAAATATCTCGATGTTCAACATTTTTGTTTAAAGAGAAATTTATTTTTTATAAAATCGTGCACAAGTTTTGTCGGCTGCTCTGTTTCTCGTCTGAGTTGTGAACGTTTAGAGAATAAGTTCGAAATACTGTGTGCTCTCGAGAGGCTCGATTCCAAATCTTTGATTTCTAAGTAAAAATTATATCTCTCATGACAAAAGGAAAAAAAAATACACGAAATTTCCATTAATTGGGTAGATTCTCTTAGAGCGAGGATATGGAGGTTCCGCTGCACGGGTGAAAAAAAGGCTAAAAAGTAGCTAGTGGGAAGCAGGTATATATATATGAAATTTTATGTACCTGAATTTTTGAGTAGTTCTCTAACGGAACTGCCGTTGATACCACGATAGAATCATGCTTCGAATAGCATTTCTAAATGTAACGAAGACGTTGCTCTGCGAAATCGGTACGATGCTTTATAAAAAAGAAAACGAAAAAAAAACAAATGCCTGTCTTAGTCAGTACTGAATGTGCGAATGCGAGTGCTCATGGAAGACAAATTATACCGACGAGATGGGTTAAAAATACGGTTGCAGTTACAGAGGGGTTATTAAAACAAAGAACAGAAAGAGAAAGAGAGGGTGAAAGAGAGAGAGAGAGAGAGAGAGAGAGATGCTTTTTTGCACGAGATAGCGGGCTCAAGTTCACACGAGAGTGAAAGGAAAAAAGGGAAAAGTAAAAAGAAAGCAGCAGAAGCCCCTTGGATGAAAGAGACACACGGGGGGCGCACTCATATTATTTTATAGCTGTATTTATCAGTATGATACGCTATATATAAATACATAAACACTAAAATAATTGTGAAAAACGACTGTGATATCGAACGATCTTGTGACATTCAATTTCCACGTGAATTGATAAATGAACAATTAATGGAGTAACAAATGGTTTAATGTATTAATTAATCGGTATTGAATGTCGGGAAGGTACTAGAGCTCAGTTGTTTGAGCCGTGGACGGAATATTAAGTCGTTAAACAGTAAACACATCAAGACAACAACGTGGCTGTTGTCCGATCGGGGAGGGCTGAACGCTAGCTCTTGCGGTCCCCCATGGGACTTTTCTAGGGCATTGTTTCCGCTTAAAGTAAACGCGCATTAACGGTAGAGAATGATAAGAGAGAGAGAGTGAGAGAGAGAGAGAGAGAAAGAGAGCGTGACGCGATCTCGCGAGTCATTACTGGTTGATGACGAAAAAAAAAAAGAAGAAAAAAAACGAAGAAGAATGATTACGATGACGTTGGTAGGGCTTTATAGGATGTCGATATCGTTTCGTGCAAACGTCGGATTCTTAATCTGTAATCTACGCGAAGGGAAAAAGTACAAATTCGATTTGCGTCACAACTAACAGGATTTTTAGACATGTCATAACTTATACCTGTTATAATTACCTAGATTTATATAGTGCAATCGCGTGCGTGAATCGTATGCCGTGTGACCGTGGACCAAGGTGTGAATGCCTCTCTTATCACGAGAGGAAGACGATATAATTATTTCACCTAGAACACTTCAAAGGGGGATAGTGCGTTTAACGAATAAATATCGCGGTGACTTCCGACACCGTGCGCGCAGTGCCGAGTGTTTGCAAATTTTTCATACGATTCGTCATCGAGACGATCTGTCAGCTCTCGGAGAGGCCCTGCCAAGAACATTACGAAGAGAATCTTTCGTGGACAGTGTGATACACCGACTACGATCGTGTGCCGTGTCGTGTCACCGTGTCGTATCGTGTCATGCGTGTTGGATGAGACCCCTACGGCGACAATCGGGTTGGAAGAATCTCTTCCGGTCCGCCGACGAGCAGCATAGGTTTCGCCGTACTGATATGTGTGTATGTATGTGTGTGTGTGTGTATGTATGTGTCTGTATGTACACGCACGCGTATCACTTCGCAAGGGAATTTTACATCGGTTCAGAGAGAGAAAGAGAGCGAGCGAGAGAGAGAGAGAGAAAGAGAGAGAGAGAGAGAGACTGGGTGTCACATATATACGCAAGCTTTTGCATGACGTCTTTTCTATTTTTACTCGATTATCTTATTTTACGATGTGACAGAGGAAGTCGCGCACCGGTGGTCGTTGGACCGACGGATGATTCATACCTCTCGATCTGCGTGGTCGCGCGCCGCGCGCGAGAACGGATTTCGAACGGCGTCTTGCGACGCGATACGATGAGCTTTCGACACAAACGAATCTATTCTGCATTCCGCGAGGATTGTTTGCGATCATTCGTGCGGTCGGGAGAGGTGGATTCAAACGGGGATCGGAGCTTAACGCTTAGCTTCGACCCGAGATTTCACGATCCAGGTCCAACACCACCGATGTCCGTAGGCATTTGTGACGCGTCGCGCGATTTTAATCGGTCCTGTGCATTTTTTTTTTTTCTCGAGAACGGAGATTCTTTCGGTTTGCATCCAACACGGTGGACAGATGCGACGCGATTACACTAAATGTTGTTTCCGTACTGTCGGGCCCACATCGTTTCTTCATTTTTAACTCCGACTCAATGAACGATGTGCATCATCGATCGTGTGTGCGTCACCACGATCGCCGATCGCGCTGGGGGGGGGGGGTTCATTTCACAATTAAATTGTAAAAGTATTTCGAGATGTAGTCATTCAACGGACTTGAGAATCATTGTAACGTGTTCCTACTGAGAGATAGTCAAATGTCCACCGTGTGATACACCCGACATGCGTAGAAATTAAAAATACGATACTATGATTTGTATAGCGTATTTAGCGTATTTAGGAGAAATAGCGAACGATGTAATAAACCATTACTATTTATTGATCGATTTAGTATTTATTTTCTACGTTATTACGTTTCGGAAGGAACAGTATAAATATATTCTGTATCGTACATGTACTTTTTCGTGTCATGTTTGGTCCTCTGAAGTATATCGGACGAGCAGCCTTGAGGAAACACTTTTCACGAATATATATATGTGTGTATACATACATATATATACAAGAACGGAATGATTGGAAAAAAGAGATTAATTTAAAGAACATAGTGCAAAAAGAGAAGAAAATAAAGGAGAAGACGAGAAAAAAAAACGAGAGGAGAAACGAATATCGATCACGATGAATAGGCGTTTAAAAAAAAGCCGAGAAAAAAAAATAAAGAGAGAGAGAGGGAGAGAGAGAAAGAGAGAAAAAGAGAGAGAGAGAGAGAGAGAGAGAGGAAGAACGTTGACTGTGACTGCAATCATTACTGAGGGGAAAACAAAAAAAATTGCGTGATTCCGCGAAAAACACTACACGTTGTAAGCCGTATTTATGTAACGCGATGTGCCGCGCGAAATCTAATATACTGCGCCTGTAAATCGCGGTGAGAGAAAGAGAGCGAGAGGGAGGGAGAGAGAGAGAGTGAATGCGAGAAATTGTTCGCGTGCGAGTGTTAGGTTTTGTATTTTTTATTAATTTTCATTCTACGCGCGCGTCTCGGAGGGATGACGGACGACTTCCGACGAGAGATGATTTCCTCGTCGAGGAGAGGATCCCGCGGGGGAAGGGGGTGGGGATCGGGTGCGCGTGCCCGGCCGGTGTTCTTCGTTTTCCCCGAGATTCGAGCCTCTGGAAGGACGCGCGAAGGGAAGGGAATTCTCGAGGGGAAGAGAAAGCAGGGTGGAAAAACGCGAGAAAATCTAGCGAAGATGGCGTGCACGCGCGCGCGTTCTCGAAAGAACACACACCAATGCGTACATACACACATACATTATATACATACATGCACACCCACATGAGCAAATGAATGAGAGAGAGAGAGAGAGAGAGAGGAGGGATGGCAAAAGAAATGTCTTCTTAACTTGTTCCGAATGTTTCGATTCAGCCGAGGATCGTCGTACGTCGTAGACGAACGAGAGAGAAGGGGGGAGGGGGATGGGGTGCAGAAAATTCCGCTGAGAATTCATGTGCTCTCGAACCGCAGACTCTCGTAGCACCTTCCGCGTGTATACACATGTGAGACATGCGTTTCGTGCGACCTTCCTAGGTGCGTTATTTTTACTTGTAACGATACCGTTATACGTTTCCTTCACTCGATAGCGAGCGAGAGAGAGGGAGAGGGAGAAGAAGAGAGTCTCAACGGAACGGTGAACGTACCATTCTGTCGGTCCTTTATTAGTAACTTGCACAGTTACGCGCTAAAGTAGGCGTAACCGAATATGCGAACAAAGATATCAACGAATGTTCCGGGGAATTATTGTACGTTGTACGGCTGATGTTGTATGCGGGGATGTCCTGCGGATTTGTGTGTGCCGTAAAGTAATCGTTTGGACGGTAAAAAAGTACGAAGAAACATAACGAGATTTTTTTTTTTTAATTTTTTTACTTCTCGTGTAGAGTCCGGTGGCATTGAAGAGAAGGTTTGAACTTGGTCTTTCGAAGTAATCCGAATTATTTGGGGCTCTTGAGGTGAAAACGAGTGACTTGTACTTGCACAAATTGTTGGTTTCATCCAGTCATTCTGCGAAGAAAAATATTCGGGAGTCGGAGGTCGGAAATGATTTTGAAATTTATCGGATATCTTGAAGAATGAGTATATGTATTACGAAATAAAATTTGTGAAATAATATATACGAGTATATATGAGTATGGGTTTATATAATTACGAGATATATACCACGTAAATGTAAATACGAATTACGTTACGAAATATATTGCGAAATGTAAATATGAATTATATTACGAAATATATTGTGAAACGTATAGCGAAGAAGTGTGAACGTGTATTATATTCGGGATTGTATTGTGGAAATTTATGTAACGATACGTAGGTGTACTCTCTAAGTTTCTTGGGGTGAAATCTCATTCGAAGGTTAGAGGGACTGTCCGATCGAGTCGCTCGAATTCGAGTGACTTTCCGCTCGTGTAGAGTGAATTCTCCACTCGGAATCGTCGAGTGAATACTTTCGCTCGAAATCCCAGAGTGAATCTGTGATCTGTCGCACCGTCACAAAAACATATTGACTCCGGTCGATTGCAACATTCGCTCATGTGGAGTCGGTATCTATTCTAAGACTGAGTGAAACATTCACTTCTTTCGAGTGGCAGTATTTTCACGATCCGCTTTGAGTGAAAGTACTGAAGTACTTTTCACTCGTTTTGAGTGAGATTCCACTCCAAAGGAATACTTGACGGAGGGCTGTACCGTAAATTCTCGGTCTTGCTTAAAAGTATATCTAACCCAAAGTGCAAATATTATTATTCGTACTTAATGATTTTAATATAATTTAATCAAGTGTATCGTCCCGCTTGTGTGGTCTCGCGCGCGTGAGGACCTTACCTTCGTATTTTTGTACGCGGAATGACTGCTGGAAGTAACTTGTGTGTGAAGACACGATCGTACGATAAAATTTAAAGAACCCGAAGAATAGCTTGGAATAACTTCAGAAAAGAAACTGGGAAAACACTCATTCATTTCTACTATATACTCGGCGCAAAGAGTAAGGGGCGAGGGGGGAGAGGTTTCGTCGCGTTCTCTTGCTTCTCTCCTGTCTCTTTACGGTTACCTCGTACCACACGGATCCGAAGACATCCCCCACATATTGGACAAATTCACACGGGAGATGTGTTTCGAGTGGGAATGAAGCGGGAGAAGAGAGAAATTGATCGAACAAGGAGGGAAGTTCATCAATGCGTCGTACACTTATCGTTATCATTAGCAATAAGTTATTGTGCGCGTCGCGAAGCGCGTGTACACGTACTTCTTGCATGCGTAGGTTTTAACGTATGCTCCGTGAAGAATGATGTAGAATGTCAATATTGTTATAAAAAAGAAAAAAAAAAAGAAAAAAAGAATACCTCATATGGGACGATGGATCAGCACGTTATTAATTCAATGTTCTTTCATTCGGTGAATTTTTCCGTTTCTAGTATTATATGCGAAGAGAAAGAAGTGACAGGAGACTTCTACAAAAATGAATATAATAAAGATTACAAAAGGATCACACGTAAGATTTGGTTTTGTTAATTGTACTGAGACTGCACTAGAATCTAAGCAACTTTAATAATACACTTTATTGGCATTGCATTGGCTCAACATTGGCCAATGTTGAGCCAATGTAACACCAATGTAGTGTGTATTAGGGAGGGTCGAGAAGTGACGTTACTTGCAATGCCATTATTCGTCTTAAATTACTTCTTCCAGTAACCATTTTGTTACGACGTTCTTCCTTTTTTTTTATCAATAATAATAAAGGATTAACACAATTATATTTTTGTAAAATAACGTTAATATATTTAGCATGGAAACAAGACAGGCGCGCGCTATCGACGCGTATTAATAATTTCTTATTAATAAATAACACTTATTAATAATTTCTTTAATTAAAGGTACAACTATTCCGAAATGCTATTATATACGTAATTGTGGGTATATAATTTTATCGTATAATATGTATAATAAAATATTGGCGCACCTTGTGCCTCAAATGTACAGGCGAACAAGGGACGGTGAGACCGGCCATTTTTACGCGATCGATCTATGATCGATGTTGCTTATTCCTGTAAGCACAATCGATTATTGAAGTAACGACGCGCCCGATTTCTACACGCTGACCGTGAAAAGATAAATATTCCAGAAGCCTCGAGATGGCGCTCATCTACACTTTGTCGGGCTTATAGAATATTACTGCGATCTGCGAGACGTTCATTGATTGGTTGTCCAGAACTTTTGTCCAGTTTCTCGTAAAATAATCGCTACTATTATTTCCAGCTGTCTTTAACATTTATCGCGCGAAAACAGGGATTTCAACGCACTTTATTATACTTGTATATTACTCGAAATAATCAGATTTCCGGCGGGAGAAATATCTGAAAAATACCCGAAAGGCTCGTATTTTTTCGATAATACTCGAGTATGTAAGTATTGGATATTGACATCGGTAAGGTTTTGCGCACGATGCAAATGCGTTAGCGATAAATATTAAATATTAAGAATAAAAATGAGAAATGGTGCGATTAAACATAATGCGTAATGGGAAAGAAACGAAGTGAAAGATAGAAAGACGAAAGCAAGCGACGGCAATAATAATAAATTTTGCTGAAGAGAACACGAGAGGAACGGACCTGCCAGGAAGCGCCAAGTAACAATAAAAAAAAAACATTACATCAAGGTTGTAGTTTCGCGTTCAACGATATAAGCGCAACACAACACAGGTTATGCGTAACATTTACATCGTCGAGTGGCAAATTATAACGTTGCCGTAACACTGCTGCTGTTACTCAATGTTTATTGGCCTCCTAGCAAATTTAAATCTCGAGTAGTGGGGAAACACGGGTTGACGCCGTTACCAATCGCGTAAGACCACGATCGCAATGGCGGCGTGGCTGAACGGTTTTGTGTTATCGGCCGGATAGGTGTTGCTTTCTCGGCGCGACTCGAGTCGATTTTCTTACTCGCAACGTTGCTGGCCCAGCGCGCTCGCTCGGCGGACCGTTTCCTTCTCAGTCATGTACGTTCTCCTGCTGACGGCTCTGTTCAATTTCGCCCTGGACGGTACGTGGCCCTAACCTTTTAAACCCTTCCCCGGTTTGAATAAATCAGCACCTGCCCACGCACGATTAACAATACGAGGTTGCCTTACAGCGGTAGGAAGCGTCTCTCAATTGGAGATCAATAAGCATTTGGAGCTCGGCAGGGAGTTCCTGGCGAAGGGCCAGCTGCAGGACGCACTGTCGCACTATCACGCAGCTGTCGGTAAGTCTGAGTCATGAGATGCCGAGACCGGTTTCGAGATGCCTCTCTGATGTGTACGTCTCTCTGATGCATCGTCGTCTTACCGGGAGCAACGAGGAGTGAATATAAATATCATAAAAGAGAGAAGGAAAGCAAGCGTTTGTGAATATAAGCCTCTTTCAGATGGCGACCCGACTAATTACCTGACGCACTACAAGAGAGGAACGGTTTACTTAGCTCTGGGTAAGGCCAAATTCGCCCTCCACGACCTTGACAAGGTTCTGGAATTGAATGCGGACTTTATACCGGCCAGGCTGCAGCGTGGCAACATTTTGCTCAGGCAAGCCAACTTCGACGAGGCTGAGGCCAACTTCGTGGACGTGGTATGTTGTTCTTGTATTCAAGGCTTACTCGTGTAACGTGGGAGTACTCCCATACTCATCTTACTCTGTTGCAGCTGTCTGTAGAACCAAATAATAGAGATGCCTTGAATGCCTTAGATAAATTATACCCAGCTAGGGAAGACATGAAGGACATCGACTTGTTGGTGCGTAATGGTGAGCATGGGGCAGCTGTGCACCATATCACGCGGCTCATCGAAGTGTGTCCGTGGTCGTCTGACCTCAGAGAGCGCAGGGCCGAGAGTTATTTAGTCCTCGGTGATTATATGAGCGCCATATCCGATATACGCTCGACTACAAAATTGTTGTCCGACAATACGGAAGGATTTTTCAAGCTCTCGACGTGGCTCTATCGTCTTGGACAGGTGGAGGAAGCATTGAAGTGAGTTGGAAGTGAGAACTTGGCAGAGGTGGGTGATATCATGGTCCCTCGTTTTGTGCGATTACTTGGTTGATAATCGAATAACCGAACAGCTGAAATATGGATAAAATGTTAAGTAACGAACGAAACACTTTAAGTGTACGTATATACGTATAATAATATGCCCGAGATCATGAAATATGTGTGCGATTCAATGATCAAATGTATCTTTAAACGTCTCGGAATGCTCGAAGGTAAAAATACGTTGTAACAAATGCCGATTGTTGTGCATGTTATCGGCGTTGCGTAACGGTGAGTTACCGAACGAATGATTCCACAAGTGATCGTTGAAATTCGTCGCTCGATAGCGGAGATATCAAGGGGGGGCCGTAATACCACCTTCTCCTTTAGTCACGATTATCATCGATGCTTATGCGTTCGAGCGCGACGTTAACTTGAACTACAAATGTTTAGAGAGATTCGAGAATGCTTGAAGCTCGATCCAGATCATAAGGAATGCTTCCCGTTCTACAAGAAGATACGAAAGATCAGCAAGTTGCTGCAAGACGCGGAAAAGGCGTCGGAAGATTCGAGGTACGAGGAGTGCGTCGATTCGGCCGGGCGTGTGTTGAAGCAAGAGCCGGACGAGCAAAATGTGCGGTTCGCAGCCTTTCATCTTCTCTGCAAGTGTCACACCGGCACTTCCGAGACAACGGACGCGATTAACAACTGCCAGGAAGCATTGAAGATCAGGAAGGAGCCGGGTGTCATCTGCGACAGCGCGGAGGCGTATCTCGCTGCGGAGATGTTCGACGATGGTAATTCATCCGCTTTATTCGGAACGATTCCTACCCGACCGTCGTTTCGCCGGCGCATTCTAGGACAAATTTCTAGCGGAAACATTGAATTACACCATGCGTAAAAATATTATCGCCCATCCTGTGCAGCCAGTAACGAGTGTAGTGCATAAGAAATATGCAGTAAAACGGGATTCCTTTCAGACAGATATTTGTTTCTTGCTTGCACGTGTATAATGTCATAATCAACCGCGTGTTAAGATCAATCTTACGGCTTAGAAGGTTAAAGTTACCCCTTGTCCGCGACCTCGCTTTAATTGGCCAATCACAGTCGTTCGTTAGAAGAATAATTGATCGTGATCGCTCGATTTGCTTGCGACTCGCGCTTTAAAGCAAGGTCGTAGACAAGGGCTTAGATACGCCCTGTGGCGTTTAGTGACGATCAAGTCGTACGTTACAAATACTTTGTCCCCACGACAGCCATCCGGGACTTCAAGGACGCGTTGGAGATAGACCCGAACTTCCAACGGGCGAAGCAGGGTCTGCAGAAAGCGCAACAACGGCAGAAGATGTCGGAGTCGCGGGACTATTACAAGATCCTGGGCGTGCCCAGGACCGCGAAGAAGCGGGATATCATCAAGGCGTACAGGAAAGCGGCGCAGAAGTGGCATCCGGACAACTTCCAGGAGGGCGACGAGAAGAAGCACGCCCAGAAGAAGTTCATCGACATCGCCGCCGCCAAAGAGGTCCTCACCGACGACGAGAAGAGGGCGAAGTTCGATCAGGGCGAGGACCCGCTGGATCCCGAGTCGGGCCGACATCAGCAGGGCTTCAATCCCTTCCAAGAGTTCCACCACTTCCACGGCTCCCCCTTCCAGTTCAAGTTCCACTTCAATTAAACGCACGAATCGCGCGGATCATCCCCGTCGTAATAGGAGCAATTACTATCCTCGAATTCTTCTTATCCTCGTCCGCGACGTGGACGGTGACACACCTTCGTATCCTTCGCTCTGTCCTTAGCCCGAATTTAATTTTCACTACCTCGTGGCTGGAGAGGCCGTGTTTAACTCTCGTTGAAACGGACTCGGGAGGTTCGTGATACGCACGACGGCGAATTAGTACGCACTGTCTCGGCCGAGTCATCTCGCATTATCGGATGCGTGTCCTCGTGTTTTCGATACGCGTTGCGTCCAGCTTTTCGGTACGGCGGCGTAACGGAGCGGCAAACGACGGCCGACGCTCCGCAAGTGTGTGTGTGTGTGTGTGTGCGCGCCTTTCAATGGCCGAGGAAATGTAAACGCGTTGTACACCTAATTCAATCGTGGAACGAGAGAGGAAGGACTATTTAGTTATATATATATATAAATATAAATAAAAGAGATAGTGATAACTATCAAATGAAATTACGAACTTCTTTTAGGGCAGATATTTAGGAAGATTTCGGATCCTTTTTGTAGAGAGAGAGAGAGAGAGAGAGAGAGAGAGAGAGAGAGAGAATTCTCGAGACGATGCGCGTGACGCTGCCATAACAAGCGTTTTCCGAAACGACGGGTGTTTCAGGCGCGCCTTCCGTACCGAAAAGATCAGACGCAAGGTAGAGTTGAATCGTTTGATAGCTTTGCCACTGCTAAGAATCACCGTACAGTAATGCGCTACACGTGCATACGGACTGAACGACAAAGATGGTCTGCTTGAATTCCCGTGAGCGTGTGTTGCGTGCAATTTTTCATCGTAGCACCGTCGATCTGTACTCGCCAGCGTGGCGATCCGCGCAATTGTGATCATACTAAATGTCGCCGTGCAAACGAAGAATGTACAGTTGATCATCACACACACACACACACACGGACGCACACACACACACACGGACGCACATACATATATATACAGACACACACACACACATAGTGTCACTGATTTACTTCAGCGGCTACTCGATCGTTTTAGCTTGGAACGTGCGATCAATTAGATAGAGAGATAAACGTGAAAGCCATTTCTTGATGATGATGATGATGACGCGCCCTTACCGAGTACGAATACAATTCTACATTCACTAAGTATTTATATCTCGTTATTATTATAATTATTATAATAACTGCGCGCGGTATTCGTACTCGGTAACCGTTCACATAACACGTTGTGTAGTGTGCCCTGTGCGCTCGCGGTGTTTTGCATGAGTGTGAGTCGGAACTTCATGTGTAAATACTGTATCTCTGATATTTGTTTAAGAAATATACATATATATATATTTGAGTAATTTATACAGACGCAAAACTCGGAGGCATTATATATGTACGATAGTATGTACAGAAGACGGAATCTTTCTCTTCAACGAAAAATGCGAGGTATAAATATATATAAGTACCGAACTCTCTCTTTCTCTCTCTCTCTGTCGTTTGCTCAGGCATTGAAGTCCTCTTTCTCTTCGAACTTCCGTCCCGGGTGCGCTTCTCATCTTCTCTTCTTACCGGCCGCTCCTCTCGGTTTCTTCGATTTCTCAAGACTCCTCGTTTGTTCCCCCAAGTCTTTGTACTGCCCTAATTTATGCCTCACCATGTAGTCCCTCCATGCTGACTGGATGATAGTCGCGGCCCTATTCAGCTTCTCCCGATACCTCGCCTCTTCCTGCAATCTCTTCTCTTCAGCGTCGCACTCGTCGATGAACTCTTGTCGCGTGTCTCTCAAAGCGCGCATTTCTTCCGTCTCAAATTTTTGCTTTTCTATCTTTCTCTGTCACGGACAAAAATAGGGTTCGAGCGAGCTGTTCGGATGCTACTTGCAAAACAGTGGGTGAAGAATGAAGTCTCTCTCTCGACACAGGTATCGAGACATTCGAGTGTACCTTAAGCTCATCTATTTCTTGCTGTCGTTGCACGATTTCCTCGTTGTATCTTTTCGTCCACTCGGCCGTCTGCTCTTTTTTATCCGTGATATCCGTTTCCAAGAAGGCGGTCATTTCCGCCGAGATAATTTGTTCCGTGCTGTATTCCCTCGTGTTGTCGCTCAGTTCGTCCATCATATCCGTCTTTTGCAGCTTCAGCTTCAGATCCTGCTGCTCCAATCTGGCCTTCGCCCATTTTTCCGCGTAACCTGGGCGCAACACCGCAACGACGGGATTTAGGATATCGAGAGTGCGGCATCGAAATGGTCCGTGTAACTTCTCGCACAAAAGCTAACGTTAACATTGTTGCAACATTGCAGCAATATTGAGCATTATGTTGCGGCAATGTTGCCGCAAGCTTCTGCGCGCCCATGGATTACTTAGTTTCGCGCTGTTCGAGAATATCGCGTGGTCGACCTGCGCGTCGCTTTTCTGATCGAGACTAATCGTCTTCTTCCTATTCTCCTCGTTCGCCTTTCGATCAATCTCCAGCAGCTCCCGAAGTTGCTCCGCTTGGTCCTGCCATATCTCCGCGTCCACCGAGAGATTATGCTCGCTCTCTTGCTTCTTCGCAATTTCATGAATTTCTTTCTGCAGACTGTCGAATCTTCGGTTGTCCCTCACGTCGTGAAAAACTTTTTCGAGGACCTTCTGCACGTAGTTCCTGAGCGGATATTCGCGAAGATGTTCTCTCGCCCACGAGAGGCTGCGTGAAATCTTCACGCGGAACGTAACTCGGAGAATATCCCAGACAGCGCGCGATATTTATAAAGTGCTTTTTGAGTATAAATATGAAATATTTCGTAAATATTCCAATGCTCCGGGAAAGTCGGGCATGAGAGAGATTGTGATAAATATGGAAAGATATATATGAAGAATGTTTGTCGTAAATAATAAAAACACGATCCACGTGATTTCGCTTAAGTGAAATCATCACGGATCAGAAAAGTCTGGTTGCATTAATCAGAAAGGGAAACAGCCAGACGCACTTTGGTCGAAGGGAACGGAATTTCTCGTTGTGAGAACCACATTTTTCTGGGTCGTAAGAGATAATTATTTAATACTAATCAATGTCAGATTATTCTTTCATAAATAACAGATCCGTGGATATTTGCTGAATATCTAATATCTATGTTTTTTTTTTCCAACATTTCATAAATATCGCGTGCCGTCTGGGAACTGGAAGATCGCAAATGCCTCGCACACCTGTCCCTCTGCATCTTCTCACTCGCGTTGGGTACCAGCGGTAGGAGGCCCATGTCTTCTCGAAAGATTATCCTAGGCTCATCGGGCACCCCGTACGTCTCGTCGATCGTCTTAAACGCGTCGTCCCAACGCGGATCGACGTCGGCTTGTATTACGTAACCGAAGGTAGCGAGTTTCTCCAGGTATTCCTCGAGCGTGCACGAAATAGCGACCGCTTCCAGCGGCGTGAGAGAAGTGGTCGGCGGCATATCCATCTGCATACTTTTCACCCCGATATTCACAGAGGCTTTCATTCTCGAATGTGCGCTCCCGATCGACAGGGGTTCCACAGGCGTTCCAGAGTTCCTAGCTTCGTCTGTGTGTGACGACTGTATAATAATCAATCGTATGTCACTTGTTACATTGTATAATAAATAATCATCGATAGATAGATATCCTGTGTATGTATGTAAATGTAGAGTTAAGGGAAGGACCGTTCTCGGCGAAGCGAGGATTATCACAATAACGGATTACTATCTCTATCACGCACGGAAACTCCATATTGCGTAGATTAGATACACTCTCTCTTTCTCTCTCTCTGTGGCGCGATTAAGAAGAGAGAAAACTCGTTTCTAAATCACACATCTAGAAGAGTAACACAGGTTGACGAGAAAATTTTTGTCAAGTAATTCCAATCGGAGTAGGTGTTTCTTTTAGATTTTCGGTCATGAAAAACAGTGCCGCTATCTAAGTTCCCAAATAGCAAGGTGACGTTAAATGATGTTTTAAGAAAAAAAATAAACATCGGCGTTAGAGACGTCATTTGACGCCACCTTGTTACTTTCGGCTCGTTCGTCATCGCGTTAGGTTTTAAAAGCATTTTGAATTTTGAGATGAGAAATCAGCAAGAATCGTAAGAAAAAAATGTATGATAAATTGGCTAAGCATATTTCTTTGCTATTGAAATGTCCAAATTCGAGTGTGACTGAGTAGAATTACTTGATAAAAATGATTTTTGCCGGCCTTACGTAATAATTAATTAATATTAAGATTTTCAAGAGTCGATTAACCGCACTATAACTTGAGGAAGCCTCAGACAATAGCCTGAGGCGCGTTCAGTCATTGATTTATGAAAGAAATGAGTATTCAGTAGAGGCAATAATATCCCTGTCTTAAAAACGTGCCTTTCTCGGGATAAGAGTACCCATTTCGTTCGGCCGACAACTGAGTATTATTACGCGTCTCCTCGCTCCGCCCGATGTGATTTTATACTCCCGTCACCTTATGCTGTGCGTCTTGCGTAGCTGCGTTCAACGCAGCTGGAACGCCCGGCGGCATAAATATAATGGATTTACGACCGGTGACTGTATTCCTATGCGGGTTCGTTTTTATAAATCCCTCGCCTCTCGATCTTTCTAAAAGAGAATCGAACCTGGAATCTGCTTCTACCGTGTTTTTAGACTCGGCATCAACCTGTAGACGCGCGTTTGCTCTTATTAATTATCACTGATAACTATTGTTTTGTTCCAATAATACACTATATTTCTGATTTTCGTTGGATCTCTCCGCGGGGAAACATTTTTCATATATAATTATTTATAAAAAATATGTCCACATGTATATATATGTAAAATTACCACTTTATATATAATTGTATATTTAATTATATATGACAAATGTTTCCCAGGTCATGATAATGGATTATTTTACCGTTTCATTCATAATTTCCATCTTGGAGATTTTATCCAAGTTTTGTAAAAATGTATTGGTGGACTGCTTCCTTGTTTCTTCGATAGCATTCTCGCCCGCCAACGCATCATCGGCAAAGATCACATTTTTACGAGCTTGCTGAAGAGCTAACGTCGATAGTCTCTGGAGCGCGACTTCTTTTTGAAACGCATATATATCTTGGGACGCGCTCGACTTATTTATCGTCACATCGGTGTTATACTGAAACAGCAATTGTACACGTCGTTGCATTATTTCACATGAAACATGAAATTTCGACGATCGAGAAATGAAGTGGACGATAATCTAAGATAATTCATGTAGCAATATGTCGCGTTAATTTTAGGCATTTTAGGAAACACGTTCAATAGTTTATTTTAGTGTAATATTAAATTTTCAAAAATTACGATATCATGTAGACCGATTTATATGTACATATGTTGGAGTGCACAAGAATTATTATTAACAGCGACTTAAACTATAGAAAAATTACTATTAACCGTGTCTATACGAACCTTATTATTGTGCATCTTCGAGCTTTCTTTTCCTATTTCTCCTCGTTAACCAATATATTTGCCAGCAATGTACAGGATGGACGTGTGCAAAATATTGTCAGCTGAACCTTCGGTTTAATCCAGTTCCAAGACATATTGTTAAGCTTTCGCCTTGTCAAATGCGTAAAAATTTGAAATCACGCAAAATCCCGAAACAAAGACAGATTGTACCGCATGAATATCGCTGGTGAAGATTGTTTTCTGTGAATTCATGCGTATAAGCATTGTTTGAAATATATCGAGTATAAAAGCAAGTAAACGCGATTCAAGGTACTCTTTGGTCCTAATACAAAATCTGGGGGTTCCTCGGTCTTAATACAGAGTCTCATTGGTTGCATGGAAAATAAAGGTATATTTAATAAACATGATACATTTCATCTGCAAATATGGACTAAATAAATATATATATCTCTCATACAGGAATCATCACCGTACTTATTTCAATGAAATGTTTGACATTCTCGAACATTTAGTTTCCCTAAGAACTAAATTTCAAGAACATACTACAAGAGATCTCTCTCCACAGTTAATATAACTTCTTATTTTTACGTATTTATAATCTCATTTAACTGAAAATTCACTCATGCACTTCTTAAAAATAAGTGGCGATAATACTAACTCAATGGCGATTCAGTAAAGAGAATGAAACGAGAAAGAAATATATATTGGCGTAGCAAATGAAACAAAATAACTGTTTGATTTCTCGATCGAATTCGATGTAAATTTTGATCAAGAGCTAATGCCGAAATGCTTGCATTTGCTTACGTGATAGTAAATACGCAGTACAATGACGAGGCTACATTTCAAATTTATTATGCATCAACGCGCGCTACCAGTGTAAATCGCTTTGCAAAAATAATTGAACACCAACACGGATACGGATCGGCATTCTTTCCGAAATTTGTATCTCACTTTACATGTAGATATGTGTATATATATATATACATATCTTTTCTCCGCGTATATAATTTACTAAAAATAAACTCTCCAGTAACTAGAATCTCTCTTTGAATATTTAACGAGTCTCATCTAGCCCAATAATACTTTGTACGTAGCGGTTGAACTTTTACCTGGTTTCCTATTCTATGCATTTTACTTGTTACAACATGATGTATCACTTCATTTTACATAATAAGGCTATTGTCATGGTAATAATAATGTAAGAGCCTTCGTGATACATACGGCCCGACCCGTTTTATCGCGTTTACATGCATTTCAATGCAAATTATCTGTAACTACGCTGTAACGGCTGTAAAAGCGCATTAACATTAATCGATATAGATTTACATGTCATATACATGTGATTACGCGTGAACGCCTGATAATGAGGCGGGACTTGGTGCAAGAAAGCCACGCCATTATGGCACACCGCGATGTTCCACGTTACCTATGGGCCTCACTCACGATCGGAAAAATACTGTTACTGTCAGTCCGTTGCCGTAATCGTACGTTCTGAAAGCGCCTTGCCTAGTTACGCAAACAATGACGACAAGTCATTCATCTCTATCCAGATAACACGAAATATTTTATGAATATTCTTATGAAATACGAATGCTCTCAATTCCAGAATATTCGAATCGGACATTCCATGAGTATACGCAGAACATCGCAAGCAGAGATTCGTACGTTCATAATAAGAAAAATTGAAACGTGAAAAAAATATACAGGGTGAGGAAAATCCGGGACCCCGAAATATCTTGAAAAATATATGTTTTATAAAAAACTGTTTTCAGATAAAAGTTATAGGGTTTGAAAAGATCTATTTATCCGATCTTATCGGTTTGACCTCGGGTGGAGGTATCAAAGTCAAACGAAGATCAACTTCACTTTTTTCTTTAATAGAATCATATAGTTTTCTCAACACAGATCAATTCCTCTGTTCGTTCTGCGTATAAAAGTATTAGAGTAAGATCATCGGTGGGTGAACACTTTTCGAGATATTTTACTTTTCATCTTGATATTTTTCAGCCCGGGATATGAGATAACTCATCAAGTATTCATTCATATTCCTGTGCTATCTGGGTAGGAATAGCGTAGTGGTTTTACATAAAGTAACTAGTGTACTCGTGCGGCATCACGCCCCTCCTGGGATAAAAGGTGTGACTGGTGGAGTATTCCAACAGATTCGTGATCGAGCTCATATAGATGTCGGCGAATCTGAACAGTCTTCGGGAGAAATAAGTCGGGTTGTGGTACGTTCTGAATACCGAGCCGAACTGTTTGTTAAAGACCGATTTGATCTCGTTTCTCAGCTGGTCCCGCTCGTCCATCCACTCGTCGAGCACGTCCTGCACCTCCGGCCCCTCGTAATCCTGGTGTTCCTCTATCAGGCCGGTCAACATCTGAAGCCAGTTCGCGTTCTCCTTGAACTTCGGATCGTTCAGTGTCTCGATCTCGTGCTGTGATTGAATTGAAAACGTAATACGCAATTAATATTGTTACAATTACAATGTGAAATACTTCAAAAATATTAAATAACATTCTTCGAATATCAGAGGAGTGTTATTTTAATATTGAATAATATTCATTTCATATTCGAGGAATATTACGCGTTTATAGGGAATCTCCCTGTCTATCTATCTTTCTCTCGGCCCTTCTCTCTTCCGCGGGTGCAAATTGATTTCATTCGCCAGTGAGAATTCTATGCTTAAATCACCGTCAATTCCTTGATTATCGCCCCGGTTCGCCAGCCGTGTTCCAAAGTCACATCCGCCAGGTCGCTGTACGGATGATCGCCGAAGTACAATACCTGGTGTCCCCGCCATCCGGTCATGTCTTGCAATTGTTTGACCGTTCCCTAAAACGATTCATGGCGATGAGGCGCGCGATATCTCGGGCGAATACGCGTGATGTAAAGTGGAGGTACTCACTTCGAGGTATATGACGCCTTTGTTGAGTTTGGTGACCCGATCCCAGAGTTGCGTTTGCTTAACCTCATCGTAGATCCTCAACGGACGGGACTCCTCGGTGAAGAATCTCGGTTTCCTCGCTTGAACAATCACCACGTCAAAGTAGTCCTTCCAGTTGGGTCCCACCAGAAATTCCATACCCTTGTCACTGAAGCAGTATGTTCGGTCGATATCGCGCTCATACAGCGGAAAAGAGGGTAAAATGACGGGAAACTTTAAGACCGTCGACTGATGGAGAGAACTTACACGAAATGGAAAGGACTGTTCGTCACCAGAAACATGTTCTTCTTCACTTTTTGAAGTCGCTCGAAGAATCGTCTCAGATCCTTATTCTGCTCCAAGTACTCCGAGACATTCTCCTCTACCAACTGGTGCATTATAGGATGGCAGTTTTGTACGGAATTCTAGGCACACCGTGGAAGAGATTCATCGAAATGTGAAATCGGTGAGCGTGAACGCGCGGCCAGCTGTAAATCGGATCATCTAGTTTACCTTGACGTCTCGGAACAGTATCTCCGGGTGATAATCGATGTGATTCTGCAGGAAATACTCCGTGACGTTGCACAACAGACCCATTTCTGGCACGGAAAACAGGTCGGCTAATTGGACCATTTTCGTGCTCTGCAGAGCGTCCTTGAGCGGAGAAGAAGAAAATATATCACTGGAATATTTCACTTCAGGTTTGCGTCGTGAACAGCAATGAACGTACCTTCTACGAGACGAAACGACCCATCGTCAAAAACACACATGTCGTTACATGCAAACAGAGAAAGAGTGAGATCAGTTTGGGCGTTTAATACAGTCGGAGGCCGTTTTCCTCTATCGATGAGCAGAGGGCAAGCACCAAAAGACCGACGTGCTATTTTGTTTGCAGGTTTTCAAATCTTATCGAAGGTGCGGAAGTAAAATTTATACGTATGAATGCAAAGCAGCAACGTTTCTTTATCAAAATAAAACGTAGTCTTTTTTTTAAGTATTACATATTATATTGCGAATAATAATAATAAAAAACACTTTCTAAGAAGCTTACTTTCTAAGCACTTACTCGACGCGTTATTCTTCGCCTTCCGAGGCGCGCGATTACGTTTATCCGATAACGAACTTACGTGGGAATGTTTATGCGGCGCCTCGACGTAGGCTATCGGTATTATCCTATTTTTGTAGACCCGCAAGACCTCGTCGTCGGGCACTTGATGCAAGCCACGGTAAACGGCGCCAAATTGAATTTGCAGGAAGCTGTCGAGCTTCAGGAGGAGACCCTTTTCGATGTCGTAATGGAGGCCGCGGACGGCGAAATTCTCCCTGTACTCCAGATTGGCAATTCCCTCCGGGTACTGAAGAGAGGGGCGAAAGGGGGGAGGGGAGGACAATTAAACGAGTTTAAGGGAAGTTGAAGGTGAAATTCTAATCGGCCGTAATTGTCTTTTGATTTCGCCGGAAAATTCCGAGCGGCTGTCCTTTGAAATAGAAGGACAAATCGCCAAGTTCCGCGCGACGACTCTTTCTCATTATACTTTTCAATCTTCTCCTTCTAACCTTCGTGCGATTTTCGAATAGAATATTCGAATTACTTTCAGCCGGTGCGCGGTGCCGACGGTGTCGTGAGTCTTCTCAATGTGGCGAGTGTGTAAGGGCAATAACGTTCGCAACGTTACGTCGTGTCGATCGTATTGGGTGTATTCGGTGAAAGTCAAACGGGGAAAAAGTAAGCGCACGGAGATTGGCGATCTTACATCTGTCTTGACAAACAGGTATATCGATATGAACCTTGTACTTCTTAATGAGCATGTCGCGTCCCAGACTGTAAAGCAGGTGATCCATGGACGGCTTGTAGCACGCCAGCGTGTAATCATAATCGAATCCGTAAACCTGCACCTCCTTCAAGTCGAGCTCGTTGCACGCGAAGACACCCTTCGGATTCACGTCCTGCGGGAGCTTCTTCGCTAAATCAGAAATTCGCAGATATCACGAATTAGCGAAATCACAGCTGTGTTCCATCTCTCCGCGTTTAATTTCGAGAACTTGTGAAAAGGAGGCGCCCGAGCGCGCTGTTTTCTATAGATGAAAATAAAATGTATCGGAAATACGATGGAAGGAAGCGAGGTATTCCGGTCCGGTATTTCAGACGTCTTAAAAGAAATCCGTGTTATTTCAACGTATCGGCGCTCGCATCTCTGATCTTAATTCCGCGTGACTCAAAGTCCTCGATTGGAACGACACGACGGCACGGTTATTATTTCTTCGGATCCAGCTAGCGATCAATTTGTGCGGCGCTCTCGTTTCGTTCTATAGATGTGCGATACGAACTGATTTTCACTGTCCTAGATTTTTCTACGTACGTCTCCTTCCTCTCTCGTCGTTCCGCGTGAGAGAGAGAGAAAGAAATAGAGCGACCGATCCCCGATTCTAAATCTAATCTGTCCACGTTCTTTCGTTTTACGCCGCTTTTCGATGCCGTCGCCACTTGATTAATTAAGACCGACGAATATATCAGATAAAGTAAAAGTCGCGGAAAGAAACAGCTGAATCTCATCAATAATTTATGTGCCTGCTTTATTTGCCCGCTCTCGGAGGAAATTTGCATGTTGCACGGTTTAACGTATCATTATCTAAGCATAATGATAAGATAATACGATAAGATAATAAATCTGCCAACGCAGCTGATTTGGCAGAGATATAGCGTCTTCAAAATTAAACTTTGAGAGAGAGAGAGAAAGAGAGAGAGGGGCTGGATTGTGTGTTTTTTTCGCGCTTGCGACAGAATTTACACAGAAATCTGCCTGGAATTGTTTTCTCGCGCGATATTCTCCGTTGCTTCGAGTTCAACTTCGCGCGTTCCCCGAATTTATGATGAGTGCACGTTAATTACTCAAATACAACCGTACACCTATGATAACACGCGCGGTCCCGAACTCCGCTCGCGTTTCACCTTCGCGTTTTCAAGGAAAAGATTATTAAATCGAAATTATATGGCCATGAAGAGCCAAGCACGGCTGGTACAGCGTCGTAATAAGTAAAACTTCATAAATAGTAAAAGTGTTTGCTTCACATGGAACCAAACGTTTCGGTTATACTCGACTACCTCTTCGGTAGAGAAAAACAGTACATAAGATACACCCAGTGTACATGATTGATATATTTCCCTCGATTTATGAAATTTTATTTACTATGGCGGTGTATCTCTCAGCCTTACTTGCCCTTTTCCAGCCCCAGGAGATTCAAATTTAACCATCTCGAGGAGATTATTCGCGCCGACCGCGACGATGAGAAGCCGGGGAGAGATTCGACGTCCTTCGAAGACACATCACGGGGAAGAACGGGAAAAGATTAATTGCGTTACACTGAACGTCTCTCTCGCACGGTGTCGAAACAGCTGGCGACGCGCCAGCCGTCGCCGGCGAGTTTCCCCGTGGCCGTCGCCCGAGAATGCAACCGCGAGACGTCTCTCTCTCTCTCTCCATCGTGTCGAAAATTCACCTCATCTCATTTAATGAAATCTCACTCCCCCGCCTTTTCGCGAGGGAATGAGATAGATAGATAGATAGATAGATAAATAGAGAAAGAAGGAGAGAGAGGAAGGGAGGAGAGAAGAGAGAGGGAAAGAGAGAAAGAGAGAGACGCGTAACGGCGCGTCTCCCCCGAGGCGGAGGGATGATGCGCCTGATGAATTACTACGCGCGTGTCAAGGTCGCTTTCGAGATCTCTTCGATATCTCGAGAGCGGGGCGCGCCTGCGCGCCGCGTGTCAAGGCCGCGCGCGCGATCGAGGTATCGAACTGTGGTGCGAGCGCAATGGCGCGCAGGCGTCGCTCACTCGACCGCCGACGGTCTCTCGACGGTTGCGAGGAAGACGGACGTGGACTCGCTCGCAGACAGGTACACGCACACACACACCCCCACAAGGACGACATGGCGATCGTGGCATGGCCGTTGGCACTCACACTTGCACTTGTCGAGCATCCTCAGGTAATTGTCGCGCATGACCTCGCGCGACACCTCGCCGCGACTGATGGCGCGGTCGCCCACCGCGCGTCGACACGCTCTTCCATCGGCCGGCGGCGGCACGGCGACGTTGCGACGGCCCGACCGGACGGCGAACAGCCTCACGGCGAGGAGGCTCGATGTCGCGACGCGCCTCACGTGCAGCATCACGGACGATTGGCGGGCGTGCAACAACAACCGCCGCGGTCTCGCGATTGGCGCACGGCGCGCGGCGGCCGATTTGAATCGCGGCGCTGACGGTGCGACGCGCGCGCGCGCCTGCGATCTTGTTTGTTACGCAATCAGCGGGTAGTTATTTCAGCTCCCTCGAACGGCTATTCTCGCGTCTCGCGCGCTCCCCCTCCCTCGAAGTCACGGTTCGAAATCTGCGTCGCAGGCGACATCCTCGCGGCGCCTCGTGCTTTTTCGTCGAGCGCGGGACACGGCTGTTCGAGCGGCACTGTCGTGCACCGCGACATCCGATCCGTCGCGACGGTACTCGCGTGTTGTCGCAATAACGACGCCTTATCCGAGCTGTTCCGCGCTCGTTCGTCCTGCTGTGCCGTCCTTGAGCCTGCGTTTCCCTCCCCGGATGGCACAGAGGGGAAAAGAAGCCCCCCCCCCAAGCAGGGAGCAGAAGTCATATAAAAGTCAGGTGATGACGTCAAGATCGAGAGGTAATCATTTATAGAAAATCGAAATGATGTCGTTCGATGGTACTCAAGTGACGACGATTTCACTTTTTCGTGACTGTATCGTTAATTTGATCAGTGACCTCCTTATTTACGGCCCCCGGAAATAATGATTATATATGACTGTATGTAATTATATAAAATCATATGTGAGTTTTGTTTATATATGTGGTTACATATGCGATCACATATGTCTATACGAAAAAAATGATATCGTGTCGTTTAATTTAACGTCGATATAATGTGCTGTCAGAGGTTTCGATATTCTTAGGCCGGTTTCCACGTCACTTTTAGAGGCGCTTTTATCGATAAAAGAGAGTCCAGAATACGCCTATGTATTTAGATCATATCAGAGAGACCAAACATCAAGATCAACGTACCATTTTTATTTTTAGGCCCTAAATCCCCCTCTGTTGAAGGTGTAGAATTAAAATGTACGCGGTTGGATGCGAAGCGGCAACGTTTCTCCGTCAAAACACATTGCGGCTTTTTGAAAATTATTACATATTGTCGTGTAAATAAGTGCTTTGTAGAAAGTTGGGGAAACGACGCTTCGTGAAAGTAGACCCCAAAACCGACATATCCGTGATACCTATCAGGAAAAAAAGCAATGGAATTATATTGTTTTATATATCTATTATATGTATCCTTACATGTTATCTTTAATCTTGTAAATTTTTATTATGTAGAAAGGCTTCCTCTGATCTTTCCTTTCCGATTATCTTAAGCAAACAAGAAAAACAAGGAAAAATCGGACATGGTAGCTTCAACAGTATTTTGTGAGATAATATTTCATAGCAAAGTTCAAGCATGTCGGTTGACAGACCAGTAAACTCGGCTATTTCGGTTCACAGAACAACCTAAATATATATATATAGATTTTTAATTTCTTAAAAATTAATTTTTTCATTATATGTCTTATTATTATTTACTTTCTACCTTAAAATAACATTTAGTTATAAATACAGTTGCAAAATACAAATAGTTACAAATCCATTTACTTGACAATTCTCAGGTCCGTCATTTTTTATCAAATAAAGGACCAGTCAGGAAGAAGTCGGAGATGGCCAGCTTCTTACTTTTCTGTGGCGCTCCAACCGAGAAAATATGACACATTGATTTCCCATACCACATGTTTCACGTTTTTCCCCCCATGTATTTGCGATCATTGTTCCGGGAAAGTCCCGAAACTCGAGAAGCATTTGATTATTCAGCGTTACGGGAAAATGCGTTTCTCTCTCGGTCGATCGGCGCATTTTAAACGTCCGGATGTGCTCCGCATGCGAAGGCATGACGACGTTCCCTTTGCCTCGACCACCCCTCTCTCCCCTCCCTCTCTCAGACTGATTGATCCAGTTCCGGGGCCATTAAGATATTCCCGCGATCGAGCGTTTACGTGACGCCAAATGTCCAATTAGAATCGCTCGGGACCGCCCGGAACGTTCGTCGGAACGAGGAACTCCGCGTCTTTAGAAAGTCAAACGGAGACATCCGCCCGCGGGATCTGTATTCCGCTCCCTTCTCTCTTTCGCTTTAACATTTACCTCGTGCTTCACCTCGAAACGGGTTAATTGTCGCGCGAATCCGCGCCCGGCGTGATTCGAATGCGATCCCCCCCCTCTCAGCGTGAGTTTCTCCGGTAAATAAATAAAATAGCCGGGGTTGCGCGTGCGTACTCCCAGGCGGCGGTTCCTTCAGCACGTGCATTCTGTCGTCCGTTCGGAACCGACGTTCTCCGAAGATGCTTAACACACTTCGCACCTGATCCTAATCGCCGGAGACTGCCCATCGCGCGCGCGAATCCCAACCGGCTGCGAACCGGGCCGATTATACGCTTCCACATTTTAATAGACCGCTGTGAGCGGCGGCGCGACTCGTCGTCGATCGGTGTGATTAACGATCGGTTGTGTCATCCGTTCGTTTTTTTGGTTTCGCGCCGCATCCGCGTATCCCGCCGCGACACTGCCGTTATCGGCGGCCCGCTTGGAAAAACGACGAGGTTTCGTGAATCCCGCCGCTCGTAATCTTCTGTTCTCCACCTTCTGCCATTTCGGAGATTTTCAAGGTGCCGGGTCATCGGTTCGTCCCGCGGAGCGGAGTTATTTCGCGACCGAACCGGTGGCTTCCGCGAATATATCATATATATATGTACAATTTTTTTTAGTATAAAACGTATTTTTACAGAAAATTCTTCCGACTTTATTTATATGATAAAACAATTAGTATTGCAATACATTCGAGATAAAAAGCTACAATTATATATATTATATATATATACATAGAATTCGATATTTAAAAAATGTATAATATTACAGTGACATTAAATAATATAATTTTTTTAATATCATCAGGAATGGACATATAACCGTCTATTAATATTCCAGAGGAATTACTTAATATTAATCGATATTACTAGGATATTACGAAAATATTACGTCTAATATTTTCAGAAGATGCGTGTTATTTAATATTCAATAATATTACGCGCTTATAGGGTGCCGATCACATCCGCGTGTCCGATGGTGACGTCGATGGTTTGCGCCCGGCTGCTCGGATGCGCTACGCAATTAGAGAAAAGCAGAAAGAAGGAGGAAGAAAGGAAAGGCGGAGAAACGCGTTTCGTGTTACGGAGTTACTCGCTTCTCGTGCAGCGACATCGTCGCTTGTCGCCGTCGCGTCGAAAATAATCTCTCCCACCGCTTCGTGATCGATAGACGTCGGAAGCGATCTTCCAGCATTTACATACGCAACTGTTCCGCACTTGCTGCCGGCACGCGACCCCGTTGCCTTAATCTAACCTGGTCTTCGATCCCCGGTCGTCGCACTCCTCTCGTAATGCGCCTTGTCGTACACACGCTTTTCCCAGCGCTTCGAGCGCGCAAACGACCGATTGGCTTCCCAACACGGCGGGGTTATTAAGAATTGTATCACTTCGTTACGTAATATCCTTCCTTCTCCCGAGATGTGCGTGCGTGCGTGTCGCCGATACTCGAAACGCGCGAAGAGGAAGAAATGTAACGACTCCGCGCTCAGCTCGGTTTAACCGAGCTTCCCGATAACGGAGCAAGGCTAAGAAAACTCCCACGACGTAAAAAAGACTCCATTAATGCAGATCCATTCTCTGAGTACAGTGGCATTGAACATTTTCAATCAGTGACTGCTGCTTTGGAGCGTCATTGCCGATTCACCGAATAATCAGCAGTCGTAATGGGTGAATATTTGGGCGCACCTGACTGCGAAATCTCCGGCGTCATCGCGCCTACACACATTGAGGGTAGAAAATATTTTGAAATACTTTTATTCAGTGGGCACTGATGATATAAATTATAATTGTAATATACACGAATCTTCAAGTACTTTTATTTAAATAGAACATACAATTGCTTTCGTGAGGAGTTACAGATAAAAAAAAATCTTTTCTAATCTGATCATTTTATTTTCAGCGTAAAAGAAGTATATCGGCGCAAGCAGATATGTTACTAATGCCGAATAAATATTTTTTATTTCTTGAAATTTTCCTCTCATACAGTGCAGGGAACTGCATTAATGGAATCTTTTGTACTTCCGCTACTTCGAGATATCGTCGGTCGCGAATTCGGGCTTTAATTATGATTGCGCGACGCGAGGTGACGAGTTTCACGTTGCGACATAGCGTATAGGCAATTTGCCGCGATACTCCCTGTAAAATTTTCCATACACCTGAGATATCCCGAGGCGCTGAATACTCACCCCCTGTACTCTGTGTATCGACAGCTTCAACAGAATCAACGTGCACGCTGTGTTACCGTTCGTTCGTTCGTTCGCTCGTTCGCTCGCTCGTTCGTCCGCTCGTTCGTACGAAGCCGCCCGCGGATTTCATATCTCCGCATATTGTGTCATGTTAAAAATAGCGGCTTGACTTTCCAACTCCTTTACGGAGGGCAAGTTTTACGCTCGCAACTTTCTACGTTATTTCGGCGCCTCTCACCATGACTCCACCCTTCCGCTGCAACGTTGTTTTCCTTTAATATCCGTCTTTTCCGGTTATTCTTCATCGCCGGACTTAATACTTCTGGCTGCTCCGTTGGTCGCTTTTTTCCCCTCCCTGCTTTTTTTTTTCATAAAATTCAGCAAACCGCTTAATTTTAATTCAACGGGGATACCGGGGCTTGTTTGTTGGGATTTATTTTACACAATGCACAATGATTAAAAAGTATTTTACAATATCGTGAGAATTTATATGTAACTACATCCTTCAGTTTTTAGAAAACATATTAGCTTTATATGCAGTATTATAAACAAATATACGACAGCTGTTGTACCTAGCGATAGATATTAATATAGTGAGCTTCGAACCTGTCGTTATAACAGTTACCGTGTACTTGTAGGCAATTTTGAATCAAAAAAAGTCCTTTACCATTTTGCGAATAACCATGTATAAATTTTTAAATTATTAATTAAAACGGCCTCTATATATGGGCGGTTTCAATAATTAGGAACTAAAAATTCTGCGTGTTTGCAAAAATGGTAGAGGATTTTTTATTGTCCAGCTGAATCTGTTGGCAATGCCTTCGCTAAGTTTGTCCATGTTGATCTAGGACACCCTGTATAATTAAATATAATGATACATAATCATATATGAAGTGATAGTACAGTTATATGTGATTATATATAAATATATATCATATATATACCTAATTATATATTTTTATATATGGATATGTTCTATATATAATTACATATGAAAAATTATCCCGGGGGATGCAATATGTTAACCACGAGCGACTTCGTACACCCAACTGACACGACACTCGTAATATATACTGCAGAGTGGAATATGCTCTTTTATTTATCAAGCGAGAGATATAAGCTTTATGACAACCAACTCCCCCTCTCCGTGTGACTTTTATCCCCGGTCCCTTCTAAATCTTCGCGGAGAGCGGAGTGTAACGTCTCTCAGGGAAGATCTGGCAAGAACGTTCTCTCTCTCTCTCTCTCTCTCTCTT